CTATGGAAAGGGGGTAAGGGGAGATAAGTGCGATGGCGGATGTGCATTCGCCCGGCCGCGGCCAGCTCCATTTCGCCTCGCCCCACCACGCCCCGCCACGCCCCGCGCTAACAGGCATTACTTCCATCTCGCTCACTCGCCCAAGACTTCTGACCTCGACTGGGTGCGCCCGGCCCATGGCCCAGCCCGGCCCGGGGTCCAGAGGGGAGGGTGGGAGCTCAAAGAGCGCCGAGAGATGACTCAGGGAAGATAATACCACCCGCCACGCTGCGCTCGCCTCCCGCACTGAAAAATAGCCGTAGGTTTTACAGGAAACTTTTTCATAAAGCATGTCGTAAATTTACACTTTAAAATTGTAAAATGACTCGTAAAATAACATTCTAAATTTGTAAAATTAGAAGCAGCTTGGGATTCATCGAGAAGCAAAAATATAACTGTACTAAATTTACAAATATTTTGTAAAATAGTGAACTACAAAATTTGTTGTGGTTTTACGAGGATATTTTTTACAGTGTAACTTCAGTCCAGGAGCACGGAGAAAAAAGACTATAGCTGTCTCAGCTGAAATCGTTACTGAATGATTAGCAATTTACCTTTGCTGACACGTGGGCAAAAAAAAACAAAAAAAAACATTGTTGCAGAGAGGTGCCTCCACAACGAGCTTTGCAGTCACCTACGCCATTGCTGTGGGAACAATGTATTTGCGGATGTAGGAAAAAAATATCTGCTACTAATTAAGCATCGTTTCCAGCTGTGACAGCAAGTCTTTTCTCTGCGCGAGGAGAGTATTTTCCAGACTGATTCGCATTTCTCATGTTTATAGCAGATGAGAAAAACGCCAGTGAAATTTGGGTGTTTGACACGAACAGAAGGTGAACGGGGCATAGGTGGGTGATAAGGAGGAAAGAGCAGGAACTGCTGGAAAGGAGATGGGGTATAAAGAAGAGAACGAGAAGAGGGACCAATAGGGCAGGAATGGTGAATGAGAAGGAGACAATGTTTAGGAAATAGGTGATAAAGAAATGAGAGAGGAAAGGGAGATAGAGACAGGATTTAGTGATGGAAATGGGTGGAGGGAACAAGAGAGCAGAAAGAATCCATGCACGTCTGTTTGTGTGAGAGCGCGAGAGGTGAGAAAATATGAGAGAAGATTGTGAAACGGCAAAGAAGAGAGAGAGAGAGGGAGAGGGAGACGGAGAGAGAGAGAGAGAGAGAGAGAGAGAGAGAGAGAGAGAGGGAGAGAACGAGGAGAGGACACTCTCAGCTGTTTCTGATTTTTAGACCTTCTGTCAGTATTTATGCTAACTACCCTTACGTTGCTAAAATCTCTTATTTTATCAGTAATTTACTTAATAGAAAAATATACAAGTAAGTAAACAATTAGGCAATAAAAGAGGCAGCTTAAAACGTAGCTTAATAAAACAATAAGGTCTGAGGAAGAGAGAGAGAGAGAGAGAGAGGGAGAGAGAGACGCGATTCCAACGTAGGGAGAGAGCGAGAAAGACGACGGGGTGCTATTGATTCGCTGGTCCAGGCGGGGCGCAGGCGGGGCGCAGGCGGGGCGCAGGCGGCGCCCAGAGCGACGCGTGGCGGGTCGTAGCGGGAGGGTGGCCGAGGGGAGTGAGGGTGGCGAGGGCTAAGGCTGGGGGCCCGCGCCACGCCGGGTGAAGCACGAATGTTGGACGGCATGGATGGCGAGTGTCTCCGCAGCACCATCGTCAGGCTGGCCGGATGCACTGACAATGAGGCTGCACTGATGTCTAAAGTGTTCAACTCGCGTGCGACTAGAAGGGTTCATTACCGTGTCGCACACGGTGCGCTGTGCTTGCCTGGAAATATCTGCAAATCGACCCTTCAAAGCGAGAAGTTTGCATCCTTGAAAGTATTTTGAAATTTTCCCTCATTAGTCCTACACCCTCAAATACAAATTTTAACATTTACACATCTGCTAGTAGTATGCAACACGGTTTTTGACATCTGCAGGTGATTGCCAGTTGAACTCTTCATTAGCAAGTATGGATTTTCAAAAGCGCGCACAAAACAACTTGCAATTCCCATGATTTATATTTCTTTAGCGTATAAACTGGGGGACACTGGGACACAGAACAGGAAGTTAAAGTTGTGCTACGGAATCACCCTCGTCGCGGTGGGAACACCCATCAAAAAGTACGGCCGAAATTTTGTTTTCCGGTATGAAACTGCCTGGTTCAGCCGCCAAGCTCTCATAGCGCCTGATAGGTAGGCAACAACCTGCCTCCTGTGCATGCGTGTACTGTGGAGAGGCCTACCCTGACATTCGCAGGCGCCGAGCGACGGCAATTTTCCGAATGAATTTGAGAAAAATAGGCGATCCCTGAGAACAAAAAAAAAACACTTGTTCCCAGTCAGCACAGTGTTAAATCATTTTTGGTATCAGTGTCGCGCAACTTCCACGTTACTGATGTGATGGGGGAATACTCCACTGTAACATACGAACTGAAAAGATCGCACACGCGATGCAATGATGGACAGTGACATCTAACCTTACTTTGCAGATGCTCATTTTTTCGTGTTAAATTGCCTACGCACAAAAAAACGGTGCTTTGTGCTTACATCTATTCCAGCCAATATCCCGTGATGTCCCCGGTACCGGAAAGTACTCCTCGGTGTGCTAGACACAACCGGGATTTTTCGGAAACAACCCGCCATTTAGCGAGAAAATGTTTGCTGGGGAAGCAATGAACCTCAAATTTGCACAGGAAAAACAAAGGAAGGAATTGATGCCCTTCCAGCGTGCCTTCGAGGCACGAAAATGTCCTCCAAAGGCATTAAATATTAACACCTTTCGGCAGTTTCAATACCTTCGCAGAGGTGCTAATTTTTAATGACTTTGTAAAGGCATTAAAACCCTTCGAGTCATACCTTTGCTTTTCTAGTATGATTGCCGCCGTCATTTTATTCGGAAAGAGTATCGCAAACCGCATTGTAGTGTAACCCGCCTCGTGCCTCGGGGGTCATACCGCGCCGCCGTCCGGTACGGCACACAACCCTCTGGCTGGCACTCACCTCGTGTATGAAGGTCAGAATCTCTTCGTGCGAACATGTTTCTAAGGCTCTTCCGTTCACCTCGAGAATTTCATCACCGATTTCCAAGTCGTTTTTTTCGGCCGGTGAACCTGCGGAGAAAAGCAGAGTTAGTGATGTTGGGCATGAGCGGAGCGAATGAGCGGGGGAGGGTTGGCGGCGGTGGTGGTGGCAGCGGATGGGGTTGTGACTCGGTTGGTGCTTTGATGGTATCTGTTTGGTAGGTATTGACCTACGGGATGAGCTTAGTGCAGTAACGATCCATGCAACAAGAATTACTGCACGATTAACTGTTTTCCGATTTATATTTTTAGAGGGTCGTAGTTTTGTTTGAGATGTCAGCCCCCCTTCTACACTTGACACTGTTATTCTACTTTCATCCATCGTTCTTTCTGTCTTTGGAGCTGACAAATTTGTTAGAAAATAACAAGTTGGGTTAAAGAAAATTCAGTTTAAAAACCAATTATGCACGGGTTTGGATGGCTGCGAGCTGCAGTCGAATATGTTCACTGTCCAAGTAGAGTTAGTGAGGCTATGTCTACGTAGATCAACAATTTAATGGGTTTACCAGGACGTGTTCCGTAAAATGTTAAAAAGAGAAATTGAAACAAAATACCAGCCGAAATAACAATAAACAACGCCCGACATACCCTGAAAACGAAGGTGCTTGTGTCGCACACTACTAGTACCGGGTGTGATTGCCCTTACGTATGGCAACTTACGCCCCCATGTAGCAACCCAGCATAACGCAAACTGTAAACATGTAATTGATGATTTTACCCGAGTTTCACCTATTTGTTGGAAACGATTCTGTGTGGTCTACATGTCGGTAGTATTTACGAAACATTTGCTTCGGTAAATTCCAATGACAAATCCCAAAACAGGTTTGCAGACATTGTCAATCCGCTCCATTTTCACATGAATGCCAAAGCCAAGCAAGGAATAAAGGTATATGGAAATAACGCAGTAGGTTTAACATGAATAAGCTGATATTTACACTGGAAACGAAAGTGTGCAACTGGCATGCACAATGCAGCTTATGGTAGTGTCAAAGTCCATGTGTTGTACTGGAAATTTGAATAAATGTGATAGTGTGCATTCTTTTTCTTCTCTTCAGAATTTAAACTTTCCCGTATAGGCGAGGTGAAAAAGTCAGAAAGAAATTAAAATTTAACGAAGGCTCTGCTAAAAAATAAATTCTGGTACATTTTAAACCCTCATGAAATACACTCTTGCTCTTCGTTTGGCGTTCATGAGAAAATAACGATGAATAATGAAAAGGAACGAAAATAATTGCTTCACCAGTCCTATTTTATTTTTAAAAAAATGATATAGCAACCACCCTTTTTTTTCCTGTGCATGCATGAACAAATTAGGGTTTTTCGGTCAGCTGGTATAGGTACACTTGAAAAAATAAATTCAACGACATTTAATTAAACCAATACAAGACAATACTAATTATGGTGGTTTTAGAGACGCAAGTCAAAGCGCTTCACCTGAGCTACGGCCACAGTCCTGACTCTGTGATTGGCTAACCCAGTTTAGCGAAGCTAAAACAAACACAGTCCTCAAAATCTCTGAGCTGAGCTGCTTTAGCTGAGGTCAGGCGCCTCACTTCAAAAAAATAAAGCCGCCAGAAAAAAAAATACATGAAAAATACTTCACAACACCGATCTAGCAAAATAGCAAACTCATGGGTTAGGACGGGGTAGGAGTGCTAGGAGAGTAGTCCAACAAAGCGGTTGGACACGAAGTGCTTGGTTCCTAGATAGAAGGAGGAAGACGAAGCGAAGATATTAGCTGCGTGTCATAAATACATACGTAGACACAGACAGAGACAGAGACATTCGGGTCCTGGGCTTCCTTCTGGGAGCATGTAACCTGCGAACACAGGTCTGTTCCAGTCAGCTGTTCAGGGCTGCTTGGGAAACACTTTTTGTCATTCCTATTTACAGAGCACCAAGCTTGCTAAAGAAAGATTATTGTCTACTACCCTGAGATGAATCAAAACCGATGCCAAAACCGTTCTTACAAATCCAATGATCAACTTTTTCAACTGGGTTCTTGGTTTATCTGGCACCATTATGCATCTAATGTTAAGAGCGTAAACAGGCAATACAGTGTGGACTTAAAAATAGAACTATTCTTCAAGGTCACAGCGTACAGATAGCTACTTTTGCTATGTCTTCATGCATATCTCCGATAATGTCCTTTGCGAGTCTTCAACACCACATAGCACTCGGGGTCAAATAAAGCTTTTAGAAAGAAGTTTAAACGCTGAAAAGACGAGAAAAGTTTCGAAACTCAGAACATGATTGCGAATACTTCGATCTTAGGGGCCTCGGTGTATGTACAGAGAGTGAGGGATGAGTCATGAACTCTCAGATCTATACTGATATATTTCTTAGTAAATATCTACGTTTTTACGTAGCAGGATTACTGACCATAATTTTATACCTAATCTATACTTATGTCAGTAACTTACTGAGAAAAGAAACAAATGTCAGTAATTTAAAAAGGAATTCTTTCGTTTTACTTATGAAAAAAGTTGTCAGTAGCTCTCTTAAGGTTTTTACGCAGCAGGAATACTGACAAGGGGTCAAAAAATCAGTAACAGGATGAGAGTGTTGATATTTTCCAATAACGTGGGTCAGGATTACGACACAAGAGTATGCGGCTTTGCGTACTCGTTTCAGCCGTAAGGCACCATGGGCCCCAGGGTAGGTAGACCCGCTTACTGTTTTGTCGTAGTCCTCCTGCCTCATGGTACATGAGTAAACGGTGAATAAGGAGCACTCTCAGCCCGTTACTGACACTTTGCAAATACACAATGAACTTGCTTATACAGCAGTAGTACTCACAAATTTAGTAAGTAATACTAATTATTTTGTTAGCAAGTACTTAGGATCATCTTCCTAAGTAATTCCTAACAAAATAATTAGTATTACTTACTAAATTTGTGAGTATTACGTGCAATTTTGTGAGTATTACTGCTGTATAAGCAAGTTCATTGTGTATTTGCAAAGTGTCAGTAACGGGCTGAGAGTGAGTAAGTTGCACATATGCAATTTTATAGATAGAAAATATGCTTCTCTTTTGCACTTACGAGTATTCGTGAATACGCCTGAGTAAACGTGATTAAGGTAAGGTGAGTTCACCGGAGTACACCGAAGCACATATACAGGGTGAACACAGGGTGAGTACATCTCAAAAACGGGAAGAGTACAGGATGCGTGTAAGCTATGCTATGAGTACAGATGAGTACAGATACGATTCACCTCTCGATAGTGAGAGGGCGGCGTGCTCTCTCGAGCTGTACTTACCGAATAGTTTGATCTTGCCATCTTGAGTCTGCACCAGGATGATGACGTAGCCCGCAAGGTCCACCATGTTGGCAGATTTCAGCTCCAAGCTACCTCGGGACTCATCTTGCATGGTGCGACGGGTTTGCCTCGGGTGAGGGGGGCCCTACATCCTGGGCGGCATCCTGGGCGCAGACGAGGTCGTCACCGCCACCGTCCTCTTCGCCGTCGCTGGGCTCCGCCATTCCGCGGGGCACCCTGCTCCGGGGCACCGGGGGCGGCACCGGGGGCGGCGGGGGCACCCCGTCGGCGGGGGGCACCGCGCCCTACGGCCCCCGCCGTGGTGGCGGAGAGGCGCCGGTGGTACCTGCGGACACAAGAACACTGTCATTGCTGGGCTGTACCCGGCGGCGCTACCGCCCGCCACGAGCAGCGTGCCTGCCCCTCTCCTTCTCCTCTCACGTAATAAAAGCACAGCCCTCTCTTCCAGCCCACCGCGCCGCTAACGAAAACAAATGCTCTCCGCCTCTTTGCAAATCGCGCCGGTGGTAGGACCACCCCCAGCCCCTCCACTCCCCCGGCCGCGACGCCGCCTGCCACCCCTTTGATCAGCCCCCCCCCCCTCTCTCCGCTCCACCCCCTCCCGTCCACACCACACGGCTATGGCGCGGCGCAGGTAATCTCATGAGAGGAAAGTGAGGCGAGGCCGCTGTTTGGCGCTTAGTGGGGGCGAGGCTCGGGGAGGTGACGCGGGGCGGGCCGGGGCAACCCTCGGGACCACGACAGCCCCTGCCGGGCCCCTGCCCCAGCGGGTAACCAGCGCGGTTCTGACCGCCAATTTTAGGTATCGCTGATTTCCAAAATAATTTCGTTTTGTTTTCTGTAACACGTTATTATTGCTGACCTCCCCTCAGTGCGCAACATAGAGAGCGTGAAAAACTTTGAAAAGTTGACAGTTTGTTTGTTTGTTTTTTTCCACCGACAGCAAACTTTGCACGCTTACGCCTTCCAGAGTGCTGCGGATGAGTGTTGGCCCCACAGGTTACACAGCTTGTGCAATCGACTGAATGCCATCACTAATGTTTCTGTGGCCACGCACATCAATATGAGTGAATTTTTACATCGCTGTGATAATAGGGGCTTTTAACAGTTATATACTTAGCGTGACTTTACAGAGTGTGCTTTTGGGCGACAAATGAGAAATCGTAATTTGCAGTTAAAGTACGAGAGGGATCGGTCTTCCCCTCGTATTTATTCCCTTCCCTTGAAGTCGAGCTCAGGTCTCCTCTTTATCTAACAGCCCTCGCCCTCGGCTGCTACTTTTTTTTTTCGCGTGGCGCCGAAAGTGGCTGCTTTTTCCACGGCGGGCCACTTGGTGAAAAGAGTGGCAGCGCACTGCTGAAAATGCACTCAGAATTTTGAGAGTGACACTCTGAAAATTCTAAGTGACACTCTCAATATTCTGAGTGCTCTGTACAATTGTGAGTGTAGGGGAGAGTTAAGAGTGCCACTCAGAGAATTTCTGAGTGGCTCTTGCACTCTGACCATGACAC